GCCCCACACAGCAACTCTCTGAATCAGAGTTCATCTCCATTCTCAAAAATGGTTACACGGGCCAGGTATCTCTCATGGGTTTAACCCACCGGAGGTCTTTTTGGTACTTAGAGCCAGGGTGCCAGGGACCACAGCTACCTGTGTTGGCTCCTGCTCTACAGTCCTTACTATGGTTCCACAGGACAGGTCCCCAAAGGGGACATCTGACAGCGCTCAGCTGCCTTGGCTGTTCTTCTCTCCTCCCGGGACCAGTTCAGAACTTGCTGAGTAAGGTTGGCCTTCCTGGCCTCTCCCAACCCCAGTGTGAGGAATTCATCTCAGAGGGAGGCAGGTGCAGTGGACGACTGCACATGTGTCCCCTGCAGACCTTGCCAAGCTCTGCATGTGCAGTTGTGAGTCTCACAAACAGCAAGGGATAACGTCATCTCATTATAGGCTGTGTGTTCATGTCTCATATCCATATGCTTTTTAAAGTTGTTTTTTTTTTTTAAGATTTTTGTTAAAAGACAGACCTTTTTTGTTAGATTTTTATTTCTATTTTTAACTATGTGTATATGTGTGTGCCTATGGGTATGTGCTGTTGACTTGTACTGAAAATGTCGTGTGACCTTTTGGGCTCTGGGGTCAATCCAGCTCTCAGGATGATACTGTGCCTGTGTTAACATTCGGCAGTATTGTAGCGAGTGGGGAGTTCCCAGGTGACACTGGCTGCTTTTCTTACAACTTCCGGTGTGCTTTCTCACCACTGAGTTTCACGAGCAGTCCTTTTGCTGGGATGTTTCTGGAATGCAGAGGACCCGCTGTCTCCCTTGATGAAGAAAAGTGAGGATGTTTCCCCACTCTCAAGCCTGATTATCATCTCCAACTCTGGCACTGTTCTTCTTCTTCTTCTTCTTCTTCTTCTTCTTCTTCTTCTTCTTCTTCTTCTTCTTCTTCTTCTTCTTCTTCTTCTTCTTTTTCTTCTCCTCCTCCTCCTCCTCCTCTCCTCTTCCTCCTCCTTCTCCTTCCCATTCTTCTTCCCCTTCCCCTTCTCCTTCTCCTCCTCCTCCTTCTTTGTTGTAAATAAAGTTTTATTGGTACACAGCCATGCTCATCCACTTACACATCCCCTGTGGCTGCGTTTCCTAACACAAAGGCGGCATTGGGACTGAGCAGCTACTGTACTCTAAAAGTGTGGTGCTCTGGGCTCAGACCTCTTCTCCCTCCATAGCCTTGCTTCCTCAGTTCTGCTTCTCACTTGTGACCTCCATGCAGAGAGCCATCGGATCACCACATTTCTGTGGTTTTCCTTTTTGCTGCCCAAGCAGGGGCTTTTTTTCTTGGGCATAATGTCCATGCCTTGAAAAAAAAAAACTTTTTGTGCTGAATATCTCTTTCGTCAGACTTGAGGCGACTTTCTGGCGAGATCAGCACATGCTGCATCTGAGTTTTATGGATGATGCCATTGTTTTTTATGGATGGATATTTCATAAATGCCATTGTGATGGCATCTTGGAAGACGTGATATGGCCATCCTGTAACCTGTGGTTCTTCTCTAAAAGAAAAGGAGCCACTCAGGGCCACACAGCACAGACACTTCATGGGAGATGCATGGCTCACTGGCCATTTCTCCTTAGATGATGCTCCCATAGGGACCCTGGGCTACTTGGAACCAGAGGCCAATCTGTTCATCAGCTGGCTGTGCTGCAATTACTGTCTTATGAAATATTAACTTGCCATAGTGATTTCAGTTAATGAGATGTCTTAGGGAAGAAGCATAGGTCCATGTGCTGCTGGTATGGGGGGGGGGGAGGTATACGCTTCCTTACTTATTACCCTAGATCTGGGCATGTCTCCTGGGAGTGGCAGCTTGTCCTATAACCTACCACTCAGTGACCTATGGTTGCCAGGCACTGGGAACACAGCAGAGGACAGAGAAGAGATCCGGGTGCCCACACAGCGTGCAGCCTAGCAGGGCAGTCACAGCACTGATAACCATGTGTACATTTGCCTGGCTGGGACCCACCACCTCGCCACTACTATGGAGGAGAGACAGCCCCTCCCATTGCATTTATTTCTAATAACATGCCATAAAGGAGCTATAAAATGTTGTCCCTGCAAATAATATCTCTTTGCCACGGCTCCATCCAGGCTGGGGTGGCTCCTCAGAGGGGGAGATGGTGGGCAACCTCAATGAGCCAAGCTGGTTGGCTCATCTCAGGTGAGGAAGCCACAGGGTAGTTGCAGAAGGACCTTCAATAGTACATGCTGAATCAGGTCTTGGACAGGGAACTAGCACCCTGAGGAGGAGAGGAGGGAGGAAGCTGCTGGCTAGGCATGACTTCCTGAGCAGATTCCCCGCTATCTAGATCAGAGACCGTAGATCAATCCTCTTTACTTTCCTGGCACTGAGGCCAATGGCTCAGGAGTTCTGCTGGGCATTGTCTACTGGTGTTGGGGATGGAGAAGGCAGAGTGTGATTTTGGGATGAAAGAATGGTTGAGGAAGTCACAGCCATCTTCTTAGGAGTCAGCGCAGTCCTTGTCACTTTCAGGAACCAGGTACAACACTTGCAGGGTAACTGGGGTGTGTGTGGTGGGGGGTGGGCATCTTTGGGCTCTGGAACCAGCCTTGCTGCAGGCTCAATTTGGGATTGATCCTTTGGGTTCTTCCTGTCCCCTCTGTTGTGTGACACATTCAGGGGATCCTGAGGCTGACATTGCCCTCAGGTCACTCCCTGGGAATTGCTTTTTGGCTTTGGGTGCTGCTACTGTGAAAGTAGCTGCGAGGGACTTCTAGCAGGAGGGTTCTGAGATAGGTGTATGTTGGGTACTTAACTAGGCTCAGGTCCAAAGGGGCCCCTGGCTCTCTATCCCAGGCTGCCCTTGCGGTTCAGGGCTTGGAGACAAGGCTTTACGCTTTGCAAAGATCTGACCCTCAGCCCGCAAATGCCATTTTCTGAGCGTCTGTCACTAGGTGTCCTGAGAAGGCTGACTGACCCGCAGGTGGAGCGTCTCAGGGGGCCGAGCACATGCTTGGCTTCACGTTCTTAGTTGCCGCTGCCACGCCATCAGGCTGAGTGACGCAGAGTGCGGGGCGGGCCAGTCAGGCTGCGCCTAGCCCTGAGATGCGGGTCAGGGCTGCCGTCCTGCGCAGCTGCGCAGCGTGACGCTGGGGTGCGCGGCCTCTGAGCAGGTACCCGGCGCTGGTGAAGGGGCGCTGACCCAGCATCTGGAGAGGAAATGCGGGTTCAGTCGGGGGAAGGGAGTGTTGGTTGCAGGGGCTCAGGCGGAATGCGGGGAGGGTGCTCCTCGGCACCGGGAGGGAATGCGTGGTGAAGGGGCTCGGGTTGCTGTGTCCTTTGAGTGTGGCTTAAGAAAGTGCAAAGACTGAGTCTTGGACCCTGGTGCAGGCGTGGGCTGGAGTGCGGTCTGCTCTCTGATGCAGAGATTTCGGCTTGGGGGGGGGGGCGTGCCCTGGGATGGGACTTAAGTTGCGGCGTTGAGGGGCTGCAGGGTTTGACCTGCACCCAGGAACAAACTCTGGAGCTAGGACACGGCGCAGGCTCAGTGTCAGCCGGTGTGATCTGTGCCTACACCGCGGTATAGCTCCCGGCTCTCACTCTGGACCCTCACAGGGGACTAGGGCATTAGTTCCTGTGCTTTTCCTGTGTCTAGTTGTTTATCCTAATCGAAGTGTTTTCCAGGCTGGTATGTCCAGGATGCCTGGGGAGCAAGCAGAGAACTAGGAGGAAACCTGAGTGCCATAGAGTTTACAGTGAGCAGGGTAGAGAAGGTGCCACACGTCGTAGCCACCAGCCAGGGCTCACCCTTCCCCCCTCACTCCCAGCAATAAATTCCCTTATGTTTTCTGGTACATCTGTGCACTGGGGTGGGTGGCCAGACACACCCTGGGTCCGGAGGTCCTGAGCTCAAATGTCAGTTTGGAAGATGTTCCCAGAGTCCAGTTGCATTTGGCTATACATCCATTCCTAATGAGGGTTATCTCAGCAGTGCCTGGACTCAGTTGCTGTGAGGCTGTAGGGGAGGGTGTGCCACTGCCCCCCCCACATCTGAGCCCCCTTTTTTTTTCTGTCTCTACTAGTGCCTGTGTGTAGAGCTCAGATTTGGAGGCTCATCCCATGTGGGGGTCCTGCTCTGTCCCAGCCTGCTTGCTACTTCAGGTAGACTAGACGACCCAGACAAAAAGATCAATAGATGTCATGTTGTGCATCCTGTATCCAGGTATAGGTACTGCCAGGTCCTGTCTGTCTGTCCGTCCATTCACCCTTTACCTTTGGAGTGCTCTGGACACACACCCCTATTTTAGCCATAAGCTAGTGTGGGGAAAGCTTCATGTAGGTGTCAGTGACTGGGGAACTCCACTGGAGGCTAGACGGACCGAGTAAGGTCATTGTCAATCCTGGGTCTCAGAGCGCCTTTTACTCCTTTTGGGCAGAGGATGGGGAGGGAAAGAGGCTGAGCCAGGGTCACAGTATGGCCTGAGGGCTGTTATGGGTCGGGGGCAGTGGGCATCTCAGGGCTGTTTACAGCTGGATTTCCAGGACATCTGCAGAGACCCAGTGGCCATGCTGAGACAGCAGCTGTCTGAATGTGAATCTGGATTCAAATACCTCGGAGTCCTTAGGACAGGAGAAGACATCAGACACCCCTGCTGTGTACTTAGGCCTACTGTACTCCTGGCATTGGGAGGGTAGGCTATCTCAGGGTAGCTGCCTCTAGTCTAGGTCTCTCCACGCTGCCTGCTGTATTTCCTCTTCTGTCACCTGGGCTCCTTTGTTTCTCTGTAGATGGGAGGCAAGGTGGGTGGCTACTGTGTATACAAGACAAGGCTCTGAAAAGTCGCACAGGGACAAGCCATGTCCCGTACTCTCACAGCTGTGCAAGAGGCTGCCCAGTGCTCATCCTCACAACCCTCAGGTTCTGTCAAGGAGTTAGGCCCGGGGACAAAACGGGGGTGGGGGTGGGGTGGGAATGGGGAGAGGATGGCAGATCAAGGGGCCAGCAACTGTAGCTACAGTTCAGCCCTAAGAGCCCCGAGGAGGGCGAGTTGATCGGCAACTAGGCAGAGAAATAGCTTGAGGACCTGGTATTGAGAAGTGATGCTCGGTGCAGGGAGAGGCTGAGGTGTGGGGTTGGCTTTTGCCCCTTGGCAATCCTCTTGATGCCTGCTGGAGCAGTACATTGAAGGGCGATTAGCATCACAGGTCAGCATTGGGGGGGACATCTCAGGTCCAGGGAAGCCCTGCAGGACTGAATACCTTTGTTTCCTTTAGTGTTTTTTTTTGAGACAGGGTTTCTGTGTAGCCCTGGCTGTACTGGAACTAACTAGCTTTGTAGACTAGGCTGGTCTTGAACTCACAGATCTGCCTGCCTCTGCCTCCCAAGTGCTGGGATTAGTGCTGGGATTAAAGGTGTGTGCCTTTAGTTGTTAACTAAGGGAAACCGGCAGCTTTTTGTGGCTTCGGCAAAAACAGAGCCCGGGAGGAAGGGTTGGCGCCAACAGGCTGGCTGTGGTTGACAGCTGGCGTCTCACGATGTAGCGTTACTGTCCTTGCCGAAACCTACTTCGTGGGAAGTAGAGGTTTTCCGTTTTCCTTTTGGAAAATGAAAGAAGCCAACTGATTTCTGTAATCATGAGATGCAGAACTATAGGTCACACACCAGGGCATGTGGTGGCCACAGGAATTTGTCTCCCTTCACTGGTCTGGGCGCTCATCCAGGGAGCTGGTGAATGGTGGAGCTATGGAGACACCTGAGATTACAGCCGTTAGGGATGGGCTCCCAGGGTCCTCAGATGCCTGTGTGCCTGTAGACTGTCCAAGATGATAGATCTCTGGAAGCTTGGAGAGATGTCCAGACGGACACAGGGGAAATAGACCAAGACGTCACAGAGGAAACAGGTGGGCGTGCCTTAGAACCACAGCCTCGTCTTCCTCTTTCAGATGCATTTCAGTACCTCTCTGTTGGGGTGTTTTTCCAGAACCCCCAGCCTCACAAATGAGAAGACTTCCCTGAAGGCATCTAGAGGTCTTCACTCCTGGAGTGAATCTAGAACTGTGGAGGATGGAGTCCTTAGACCGGAGAAGAACTGGTTCTGAGCAAGAGGAGGGCTTTGGGGTGGAGGCCAGGAGGGCCACGGATCTGGGCATGGTCCCCAATCTCCGGCGAAGCAATAGCAGCCTTCACAAGAGCAGGAGGCTTCTGTGCCCCTTCATTGAGAAGGTAGGCTCCCGCTGGCTGGCCTGTTATACCCTGGACCACAGAAGCAGTCCAATGGTTACCATTGGTTAGGGTGCCCTGGGCTAGTCAAGGCAGTCAATGGCCATAGGGTAGTCCCATCTCTTACCTGAGTCTGCCCACCTCAGGGCCTCCAACCCAGAAATGTTCTTTGGGAGAGGAGAGGCGGGAATATGATAAAGCACCAGCCAGATTGCTTACTGAGTGTTGCCCTGCTACAGCTGTCTCCCCTTTCTTCACTGTGTGGGAAATGGCCAGGTGGACAATGATGCCAGATGATGGAAGCCCTCGCTTTTCTTACGCTGTTCTACAATAACTCTAGCTCCTCTTTCTGTGGAGTCCAGGGGCATCAGCTCAGGTCCCAGGCCAGTGTCGCCGAAAGCCCTTGAGTAATCATGTTGAAACATTTGAGTATGTGGTCAGGCAGGCAGCAGGGTGTCTTCAAAGCCAGGTACCAGGTTTTCACCCTAGATGTTCTTTTCATATCATACCATCCCCAAGGAAAGCAATGTGGACATATAGCCTATAAAGTGCTGAGGACAAAGTATCCCCAAGAGAAAACAATTGTATGGTCTCATGCCTGTCTCTTGAGTACACACCCAGAGCCCAAGCAAGGCTGCTTTTAAGTTTTGAGGTGGCTTTGAGTCCCTCAGTGGAAGCTGGTCAGGGAGCAGACCAGTGTCTAAGGGAGGCCTGGGGGGTATGTGGCTTCACAATGTCAACATGCTCCTTTTTACTCCCAGCAAGAAAACCTCAGCTCATGGATTCCTGAAAACATCAAGAAGAAGGAATGTGTGTATTTTGTGGAAAGTTCCAAACTCTCCGATGCAGGGTAAGTGGCATGGTTTTGACTAAGGTCTCTGATCCATTTCTCTTGGTACAGTGTGAATGGCTGATCAGACCCACTTGTGCGGCCTCAGCCAGGGCCAGTAAAGGAGCATCTGGTGTTCATGCCAGGCTGAGAATCCCCAAGTCTCTCCATCTCATCTCAGGAGACACTTGGGGAACACGCCCAGTCCATCTTTTTCATGTCCCTAAGAGTCCTCTGGGGGCATGAATTGTGCTTTGCAAATAGGTTGGCCTGTGGCAGAGGGTTGGGTGACCTGTCCAGTGACCAGTGAATGGGGCTGTGCAGAGCAACATTCAGATCAAGCCTGGTGGGCCAGGGCTCCATTCCATGTCTTTGGAGCTTCTTGTTTTCCAGAGTCAGGAATCCAGGAACTGTAGGGACCCAGAGGAAGTCCACAGGCCAGATGTCCTTAAAAGCCATGTCAGAGGGTCCGGCTGCTGCAAGGTCTCTGGGCTGCCCTTTCTCCCTTCCCTTAGCCCACAGTGAGAGTATGGTCTCTAAGACCAGGTTGGAGGCATTTGTGGTCACTCGAAGCAGCTGGATATTGCTGTTCCTCAGATGGGACTGCCTGTGAGTTGGGCCAGTCAGAGGGACTATGGAGCAAATGGGGGGCCTATCCCTGTTCCTAGGAATGCAGCACCCTTAGACACTGCTCTCTGAGGTGGGGGTCCCTGAGATAGAGCTGGGTGATGATTCATGATAGTAGCCCTCTATTCAACCACCTACTTTCTTCTCTTCCTTTTCCCCCGGAGAACTCCTACTTCCTCCTCAAGGCCGATGGCAGATACCTCCTCTGCCGGGTAGCCTTCCTGGATTCCACAACTGTACAGGACATAGCCTTCCCCGCAGCATGCTCATGTCTTTCTTTCTTTCTTTCTTT